CACCTACCCTATTGAGCCAGTTATTACATCAACGCTGTACTAAAAGATCCAATCACAGTATTACCAGACCCATAATCAACAAAAACGTTCCTAAACACACAATCTGCATACCATAAACTAATATACGAAATATCCGAACCTATAGCTATTAAAGTATCGAAATGTAACTCGATCCAATTTGAAATCAGCAGTGTTATATTTTGTACCTAGGTTTAAAGATCTTAACTACTGCAGTATGCAATCTAATCTTAGTTTAGTAGTTTATGCGTCAAAGTACAATAGAAAAACAAGTTAAATTTTGAAATTCATATTGGGTATGGAAATAGCATTGATGGATAGGATTCAGGATTTTAAACGCAATGTTTTAGAAATCTATTTAATAATAATTCATGTACAGATCATCAGCACAGAGGACAACACATATGTACATATAATGTATATAAAATTCAAATACATAGGTGCTACATATTCCTGTTGGAATTTCTTCCAGTAGACGGAGTAGACCAGAAACAGGAAACCTATATAACATTTATCTATCTATATATATAAAAAGGAATCTTTTTTTCCCTTGTTCACGGCATCACGCGTGAATGGCTGGACTGATTTTACTAATTCTTTTTTTTTGTATCTGTTATTATTAGGAGATGGTTCTTAAGACAGAAAAATCTTGAAAATCCTACAGGAATGGGAGAAAACTGAATTGCGCGTAGGAAGTTGAATATGCATAAAAATATAGAAACCATACTGAAATTCGTTCTACTAATGATGTAGATTGAAAAGCAGCGGAAAATATTCTTCATTCATACAAAGTGCTCATTCAAAAAGCTACTCTAAAAATAGAAGCATAGAGTCTAAACAAACTCAATTGATGAAAAGCGTTTAATTGAACCGAAAGCGATACAAAGGAAATAGTTGAAATCCTTTTAGAGCACAACGGAAGTAATAGTAAAGAGAAACAACTCCACGAGGGGAAAACCGGGTGTGGAAAACTGAACCTTATATCATGGTGGGAGAGTCTTTTGTGCTATGTATCTTAGTGAAATAATCAATTTATTTGTGTAAGGATTATAAGCTGCCATTGCAATTTGTATTTTGCATAAAAATTGTCTATATCTACTATAAATATTATTTACTGTAAAAAAGTGTTCAGGTCCTCTATTACTTTCGTAAATATTATGTATACTGATTGAGATTCCCAAGTAAGGTTTCCTAAGTTTGATTTTCGATCGAACAATATAGATGATAAGGCTTTAGGTTTACCTTTGTCCCTTAAAGTAACTAACAAAAATTGGGGTTTGAAGAATAGAGTGTGTAAGTGACACCCTACGGCCTTTTTTTTTTAAGGTGGGAAAATCATCGAATGACTGCTCCCGCCTGGGTGAGGCAGAAGGGAGTGTCAGACTCTTACTGACTAAAAACCACCCCGTTCCTTCTCCTGCACGTCGAACCGGAGCCCCGGTTACCCGTTAGGTTCTCCGCGACTCCGAATCGGCAACAGCCCTATTGGGCCCCATCTGTGGTGGTCTGATGGCTCTTTGAGGCGCGCGCGGAACGCGACGCGCCGTACGCTCGGGTCTGTTTCTGGTCGGACGGGGAGCCATCCATGCTCGCCGTCCGCAGTCCCGCGCTTACGGTGGCCGGAGATCGTCCCGCGATCCCCGACGCCCGATGTGTCCTTCGCGATGGCTGGGTTGCGAGGAGGCAGCGCTTCGCTGCCTCACGCGTCCCGCCTTCTCCTTAGCTAGCATGACTGCTTCGCAAAAGGAGGAGACGGCATCCCAGTCCCCCTCGCTCCGCATCATGGCCTGCACTAGGCCCGGACGCGAGAGGTCGCCATCGCCGATCACTTCCCTGAGGGCACGGCGGTGCTCAGCCCACGCAGGGCATTCTCCCACTGTGTGTTCCACCGTGTCTTCAGGGCGGTCCTCGCAGTGATGACACCCGGGCGTTTCCTCCCGCCCTATCAGACACAGGTACCTCCCGAAACTTCCATGTCCGGTGAGGACCTGCGTCAGGCGGTAAGTGAGGACGCCGTAGCGTCTCTCAAGCCACTCCTCAAAGAGGGGACTTACCGCTGCAATGGCAAAACAATACTTGCGTTTTGTATCGTCGTGTGAGAGAGGTTACCGGACCTCCCCAATCACTTCAATCCCCGAATCCCCAATAATCCTCAAATTCCTAATCCCCAACCTCTGGTGTGTGACTAGGTACCTTCTTTACTTTTAAAAATTGACTAGATGTATTGTACGGACCAAAAGTCCGTGGAGAATTAATGTGTACTTAATATTATATAAAAAAATCTCCAACCTCTGGTGTTTCGAGTGTCTATGGGCGGCACCGATTGCTTACCATCAGGTGTCAATCCGGTAAACGAGCAGATGTTCGTTTACCGGCCTATTCCATAAAAAAAACCTTCTGAAAATGCATCAATTTTAATTAATAACAAAACAAGGTATAACAATAATGTTTATGTGAATCTGTTAGTACCCCATTTATAAACAGTCACAATAAATAACGCAAACATAAAAGTGAAATGAAAACCCGACTTTCATGACTTGAGAAATGTGATAAGAGGCAATCTTAATTTTATTCCTAAGTCGGCACAATTTTAGTGGGCTGTTAAAAACTGTAATGAATAATCTAGGAAAGTATTTTCACGATGTTAAATTAGAAATGTGGCGGTAAGTATTATTAAGATTTCTATAAATAAAAAATCTTATTATATATGTAAATGAAGCTCTCTGTTCTTCATATAAATTTGAATTTCCCGCGCATTGCATTCATACGCTATCTGTGGACAGCAAGCCTGTAATACTTTATGATTATGTGTGAATCCAATGCTAACCACTGCGGGTTACCGAGGCTCCGGCTCGACGCGCAGGAGAAGGAACGGGGTGGTTTTTAGTCAGTAAGAGTCTGAAAATCTCTCTCCCGCGTCACCAAGGCGAGAGAATTCATTCGATGTTTTTCCCCCCTTAAAAAAAGAGCCTCTGTTCACAGAATCCAATGCGCGGGAAAATCAAATTTAAATGAAGAACAGAGAGCTTCATTTACATATACTAGTTTATAAAACTGAAGAATTTGCTTGTTTGTTAGTTTGTTTGTATGTTTGAACGCGATAATCTCAGGAACTACTAGTCCGATTTGAAAAATTCTTTTTGTGTTGGATAGAGTATTCATCAAGGTAGGCTATAGGCTATGAAATATCACGGTACAATTAATAGAGCTGATGCAACCGCACGAAAGTAGTATTTAATAATTATGAGTTCTCGCGTTTAGATTATAATTATAAGCATACCTATACTATGTTATATTACACCTATTTTACACCAGTTATTTATGACTTCTATTTAACTGAAAATCTCTAGTGGATCTCTTAAATTAAATCGTTCACTTGTCAATTTCAAATAAGTACCCATAAACATGGCTTAATGTTTAGGGCTCAATTAAAAAAAATTGAAAGACAAAGAGTTTTGCAATTGAGGCTTGATATAGAACCTAATTAGAATTTAAAAAATTAGAATTTTAAAACTCAGACATTAGAAAAAGTATCCCAAAAAAGGTGCGCATTAAGTTTTAAAATATTAGAATGAAAATTATAATATATTTTAAACATTTTACGCAGCGAATTTTTATTAATTAATGGTTACTTGACCGCGATCTCGGAAAATGGAGAAAGAAAAATTCTTTTTTATGCTTGATGAAATTATCTATGAGGAAAAAATACAAAAAACTTGTGGTCCACTCTTAGTGCCCATCCAAGGTCTACACCAATAAAATTATTTGATGAAATGAAGTCTTCATAGGACCAAAAACATGTGTCCTCAGCAAAAAGGTAACATCCAAAGATCAGATCGAACGATTTAGGCTTTCAAACCTTGTACACATCAAATAATGGAAGTATGGGAGCATTTTTTCTTCCATTTCTACCCACACGTTGATACCTATTTACTAAAAGCTTTTGTGCCCAGCAAATGCTCAGCGACCCGATACATAAAAAGTATTTGACATCCGACGACTCGATCAATTTACTTAGGCTATTCCTTGTCTCATAAAAGAATCACTTAAAATATTCCATTCTCAATGCTTTCTGAATAAAATACAGTGTTCAAAAAACTGCTTTCTACTCACGTTTTGTAATTCAAAACTCTTGTAAAACGTTTGAAATGAAAATATTCCGAAAGGTCATGTTAACTTTGCAATTTGCTGGGGTTAAATTGGACCAATGTTGGCTTGGAGGCGAAATTGGTAATCTATACATTGGGAAATTGACTGGGCCTCCAATATGTGAACATAATGTGTATCGCGCGCGGTTCACTATAATGGTAACTAAATACTCATTAAGACTTTAATACGATCGAGAACAAAAGTCGTAACTAATACCAAATTTATTAAAGTTTCCTCCTTCTTGGGGACTGAACTCAAATATTTCAAAGATTCTGTAATAAATTGTTATTTTATAGACTTACTTTAGTCGGCAATTTAAAGTTATAAACGTAAAGCTGTTTACTTGGCGACTTCTCTTGCTAACTGTACCTAAAACCTCGTGAACCTTATGCTTAAACTTCAGTTTTAATTGAATATGGATTTATGGAAGGTTGTGTATTACTTTAAATAATTAACGATATAATTACTGCGACGTTAAGATGATTTACTCTCGGGGGATCGAAATTAACTAAGCGTCTCTTTTGTTGATACAGTATTAGAGTTGCTCGAGTAAGCACCGATTTGTTTTGGAAAATCTTTTTCAGCAGAACGAAGGTCGTATCGAGATGAACATCAACGAGTACATCGTTTACTCAGTGCGTCTATTTACTCGTATTTTGCGACGGAGTAATCAATTATGTTTAATTTAGTTCGAGAACCTCATCAGGGATTCTAGTCGACGCAGCCAAAAACCGGGAATCACATCACGAGTTGCAAACAACTGGCCTGTACGTGGAACGTAGTGGTGTACCTGTGTTGTGTGTATTACATTAGGTATGTGTATGGATACTCACGCGGAGAATCAGCTCGATGTATGCCAGTCGCAGTCCTGCGAACAAACGGGATTCGGATTAGTAATGTGGGAAACGTGAACGATTTTCAGTCAAGGCAAACGTGCGTGTATTGCTGTGCAGTCTTAAACGTTTCTTTTATCGACACTTAACCGCTTGATATTTGCAGAAGAAGATCAAGAAACGAATCTTTTTGATGGTAAAGGAAGTCGCTTTTGTGAATGGAGTGATGCAGACAACAAAAGATATGTATCGAATATGTATGATGTAAGTAGGTATCTATACGAGTTGATAATGCGATTAACTGAACTAAACGTGAGAATACAAGTGCAAATAATATCCTCACGTAAAATATGACCATTTGAATAGTTGAAGTTTTGTTTACGACTGTTTTACTGCAGTTTTCAACTATCAACTATCACAATCCGAATCGATTTTACGAGGGATTTTAAACTAGTGGAGCGAAACTAGGAGTAAGCTTTAGATTGGAAAGTCAGACTTTTCAAGCGTGCCATTGACAACAGTGGCGCTATTTCAATATGTAAATAGCCACGCGGTGTGCTAAACAAATTGTCGCCGCTGTTACTGACGTTATTCTTACTAAAGACTGCGAAAATCTACAACAAATTCCTCGAATACGTTACAAGTTCTACGAACGTTTTCCCATTGAAAATATTTAAGGAATCTCATCACGATTGCGAGGTTTTTTTAATCTTTTGAATAACTCAAAGCGTAAGTCGTTTTAAATTCCAACTTCATCACAAGAACAAATAAAACTGAATTGGATTTTTTGCACAATCATCTTAATGCCTAAAACTGCAAGGTCCTACAATCTACATCTAGATGAGGCATTCGTACTACATAAAAAATGAAAGATTAAACCATAAACTTGTTCCGGGTGGAGGAGAGAATCTGGGCGCTTGTTTGTGTAAATCTCTCTGGCGTCTCGGATCCCACAAGGAATTTAAGTAATCAGTAACAAAAATACGAGGAACAATAAAAATCCGTCTTTCGTGTCTTGGGTTTCTTTGGTAGGTATTGTTCTTCATTTTAAACATCGAGCCTTACAAATTCGTATTCTGTAGACTTCAATATCATCGGGTTCCTAGAAACTCTGTATCAAACACATGAGTAAAATACTTTTTCAATAACCAACGACTAACGGCAGGTAAGCCTAACGTGACAGTATAAACATGGAACTTTCTACTCCAGGAACAAAATTTCCAGTAAGTTATTACATAAGTTGTCAAAACATTTCTGTATGAACATTTTATAGCAAATTTCCAACAGGTACTATGAACGGAAAGAATTCATTAGAACGTTTACTACGAGCAATTACCAGAAGTAATGTCTAATTATCATCAACGAGTCTTATTGCAGTTCAAGGTATCATGGTTGATTCATCATACTGTTTTAATTAGCCAGTGTTAGCTGAACCTCATGACCTTGAACGAGTATCGATTATGTACTAGCTGAATTATTAGGCTCAAGAGCTCTAGAATAAATTATGGGCCGTATGAACTGTACAAACAGTATGGAAACTATATTCTGGAGTTCAAGGTTGGTATGGAAATATATTTTGAAGTGGAACATTAAGGCTGCCTCGTTGATGGAACAAAGTTTTTGATCGCAAAATTTATTGATAGTAATAGAAGTTTTGGAATTGTGCCTAGAACGGTTCTGATGTGTATTATATGAGTATGAGACTTATAACATAAGGGTTAGATGCGTAGATACTTTACTTTATATTTATTTTAATATGTAAATGTATTTAGGAGTTTCTTAAAATAACCATATCACAATACATCATGAAGAAAAGGAATAAGAGTTTAGTGAAGAGAGTATAGTTCCCTCAGATTGAAAAAGGAGGATCATCCGACCAGGCGAGGTGTTCGTGCCCGGCGGGCTTTCTGCCCAACAGTTATTTGTTGGGATATTCTATCCGTGTTAATTCGCATGTAAACTTCACATGTGGGATGTAGGATTTTGTGACGTCATCCGTTGCTTTGTTTCATTGAGTCTATGTGCGTGAACCGTCGCCAGTTCGGCACAAGAGCTATTAAAAATATAAAACGCAGAATTTTCTCTACCTCTTTAAAATGTTTATATGATACTATTATCCCTCAATGCAAAAATGTCCATGAAGACGTCAACATCAACAAAGGCTCAGACGACAAATTGGAAAAGACCCTTAAATATAACAAGTCGTAATCGTAAAAAGTTCTGAGGTATTAATGGTTATGGCTCGTTTATTTAATAACTTTTTTATTAGGTTTTTGTTATGTACTGTCAATATTATTTCTTCAGAAATTGACTAAACTAAATAAAGACAAGACAATGATAAAATGAACTCTCGGAAGACGGTATAGAATTTGTTATTCATTAATATCTTTTCATAAAATCAAGTTTTATGATATCGAATTTTATATTCAGTGTCTACAATTTATTTTTAGAGTTGTTTCATAATTTGTTTATGATTTGCAAAGATGTACCTAATCCCGATGTAAAGTTGATTGTTTTTAAGTAGTTTCCATTTTTATGGCATAAGCCGGTAAACGAGCAGACGGATCACCTGATGGTAAGCAATGGGCGTCGTTCATGGACACCTGGAATGCCAGAGGCGTTACAAGTGCGTTACCGGCTTTTTGGGGATTAGGAGTTTGATGAGGAGGATTGTTGGGGATTCAGGGTTTGGGGAAAGGAGGGTGGGTGTTAATTGGGCCTCCAGTAATCTTACTCACATTACGAAACACAACGTAAGCGTTGCATCACGTCAGTTTTCTGTGAGGCCGTGGTATCACTCCGGTCGAGCCCGCCCATTCGTCCCGAAGCATGGCTCTCCTACACTTAAAATTACTAAAAATTTTGTTCTGTTCACTACAAATTTGGTTATCAGTTATGAAAGTTTGTATTAGGTATAGGTACTTTCTACGTATAAAACTATATGAACACGAAAAAGGACGATACAAATATTTTCATCAGTAATAGGTATCTTCTTCTTGAAATATATTAAAACCCTTGATTGGGTTCTTGATAGAAATGTCTCAAGATATCGGAGGCAATAATTTTACAGGTTTGTGATTTCACTTACATTTTTAGATTACACACTTTGACAATAACGTACCTGTTAATATATATGGTGTTCTCACATACTCCCCAACCTGTCCAATCCCGGAATCCCCAATAACCTTCAAATTCCCCAAAAGGTCGGTAACGCACATGTAACACCTCTGGTGTTTCAGGTGTCCATGGGTGGCGCCGATTGCTTGCCATCATGTGATCCGTCTGCTCGTTTTTTACCAGTTTATTGCATGAAAAATAAAAACTTTTTCTAATTCTCGTCTAAATACCGAATCTAAAATTTCAGTTTAACCCTCTCTAATGCACCAACTTATCAAAGATACTACAAACTATCAGTCCAAACTTTCAATGGATGGATCCCATGTTTCACACCTACCCTATAATCGATTTGCAGACAAGTTGAGCGTTCAACGTATGAGGAAGTTAGAATATTCATCTATGCTAGTGGTTGTATACTAGTTATACGTAAGTAGTAAGTTCTATTATGATGAAATGGCTGACTAGATGCAGAGCATTTTTTTTAAGGGGGGAAAATTATCGGATGACTGCTCCCGCCTGGGTGAGGCGGGAGGGAGTGTCAGACTCTTACTGACTAAAAACCACCCCGTTCCTTCTCCTGCACGTCGAGCCGGAACCCCGGTTACCCGTTAGGTTCTCCGCGACAGATGCAGAGTATGAGGCTGTTCTAGAATGTAGAAAAAAGTCAGTTTATCGAGTTTTTATTTTGTCACATATCATCCATTTTCCTTTGTATCGTTGAATGATGTCCTATATAAAATAAACTAGAAGTTTAGGTTTTAATAATAACTATCGTGAGGTATACTAAATTAACTAAAATCGCGGGTTAATCACGTGAATATACTGAGAAAAGCTCTACTAGTTTCGAACCATCACTCACATAGTGAGTTGCGCGACGTCGCCGCGACCGCGCACGCTGCTCATAGGAAAACCCCTCTGTGGTTCGAAACTAGTAGAGCTTTTCTCAGTATGTTCACGTGAGTAACCAGCGATTTTAGTTTAACTACAAGTTTTAAGAATAATTATTCTTATCATCATATTAGTCATCGATCTTGAAACACACTTTCAAGATCGATGACTAATATGATGATAAGAATAGATATATAGATAGATATAATAGAAGATAAGAATCAAAGAGGTTAAAAACATATATTAAGCGCGAATTATGTAAACAAGCTTACTACAGGGTGATTGATTATCTTGAGGATAGGAATGCTTGGCAGCGTGTTGGTTCGGCTCCACTGGACAATACTCAAATGTAGTCAGTACCTAGTTCAGATTACGATAATAGGTAATTTAATACTTTGATTCCGATGAAGGCAATCTATTTTTCTTGTGGCATCGAGCATTTCTTTCTTTATTTAAACAAAAGTATTTTTTATTTTATTCTTGTGTAGAAGCACTATTTTATATGGATTGTCAGTATACATATGTGAGGACCATGTCAGACTTAAGATATTTGTTTTCTCTTGGTTTTTGATTTATTTTTTCCATTTTAGTATGTTCTGTTATTTGTATGTGCGTCAAGTATGTCTTTACATTATTCTCACATGTGTGTACAATATTGGAATTATGTATCAGAGCAATGTAAAAGAGACTTTTTTTTAAAAGAGTAACGAATAGTGTTTCTTCCTCGTTCTTCTCCACTCGAATCGACATTTTGGAACGAGCGCCTAGCTTCACTGACGGACAGACTATTATATATTTCATATTTGTTGACGTTTCAAAAGTACCAAATTATGGTTTAATTGAAATAAATGCTTTTGAGTTTGAGTTAAAACTCTGAAAGGCTGAAACAAGGCAGAGGAAAAAAGATACATTCTTTAGTTTTTCAACTAAATAGAAATTTTGGGCCTGTTTACAATCAGTAAAGTTTGAAAACATTATCATACATACAAATTAAGCCAACATACTTATCTACACTCTCGAATGTTCTACA